AGTAATAATAATTCGAATAAAATGAAACTTAATAAAAGAAAAGGAAAGAAACGACACAGCACAGCCTTCCTGCTGCCTGAAGATCTTTGTCCTGGAGTCTGAGAGGAAGTGAAGCCAGCTCTCACCTCCCCCCACCCTTGAGTGTGAAGCCCGGCTCAGCCCACCAGGAAGTTGAGAAACTGTGTGAGGTCGTTGGGAAATGCGTCTCCTGGCATCTGGTTTCTTTTCTGGGAAAATCGATGTTATAACTTCGGGGGCTGCACCCTCCCCCCGAACGCTGGCTCACTGAGGTCCTGCTGCCCACAACTCCGTTTTTCTGTGGAAGAGGCGCTGACCCCCACCTCCCCATGTCTGCTTTTCTTCTCTGACCCCGAGGAGAGTCTGGGAAGGGCGGAAACGCGGGGTTCTGGCGGGTGAGGGGGTGGGGAGGAGCTGTGTGGGCAGAAAGGGCAAGGAGAGGCTGTCACCAAGTGTCTGCGTTGAGCTGGTCAGCCTCAGCCGCCGGACGAGTCTCTGATCGGGGGGCGTCCTGGGGCCCTGTGCGGGGTGTGGAGAAGAGTCCGTGGGCTCCCCCCACCGCACGCCAGGGGGCAGCCCCTGCCCCCATCGCTGTCACGGCCAGAAAGTCTCCAGACGTTGTTATATGTCCCCTCAGAGGGTAAAGTCCTCCCAGTCTGTGAACCACAGCCATAGGTGCATACGTGGATGGATGGGTGGATGGACAGGAAGATATATGGATCAATGGATGGATGGATAGATGGATACATAGAGGGTTGGATGGATGGATAGATGTATGGATAGATAGATGGATGAATGGATGGATAGATAGATGGATGAATGGATGGATAGATAGATGGGTGGATAGATAGATGTATGGATAGACACATGGATGGATGGATACATGTGTGTATGTATGTATATATGGATGGGTGGATGGATAGATGGATGAATGGATGGATAGATAGATGGATGGATAGATAGATGTATGGATAGACATGTGGATGGATGGATACATGTGTGTATGTATGTATATATGGATGGATGGATGGATAGATGGATGAATGGATGGATAGATAGATGGATGGATAGATAGATGGATGGATAGATAGATGTATGGATAGACACGTGGATAGATGGATACATGTGTGTATGTATGTATATATGGATGGATGGATGGATAGATGGATGGATGGATGGATAGATGGATGAATGGATGGATAGATAGATGGATGAATGGATGGATAGATAGATGGATGGATAGATACATGGATGGATGAATACATGTATGTATGTATGTGTAGATGGATGGATGGGTGGATGGATAGATGGATAAATGGGTGGATGGATATATGGATGGATGGATACATAGATGGGTGGATGGATGAATGGATGGGTGGATGAATGGATCGGTAGATAGATGGATGAATGGATGGATCAGTAAATGGATGGATGGATGGATGGATAGATACGTACATATACATGATAGATGATAGGTAAATGATTGCATAATTATACCAATCATAGAGAATGGAGACGGATAGAAAAGCAGACTGAGAAATCGTTAGGCGACAGACTCTGTCACGCCTGCTCAGGTTTCCTCAGCCTCAGCACTGCTGGACTGTCTCTGACGTGGGGCATCCTGTGCACTCCGGGGTGTGGAGCAGAAGCCAAGGCCAGTCAGACAAAGCTGTATTAAAATGTAAGCAAATTTTTAAAATATGCAATGGATTAAAATTTTTATTATTTTAAAAAATATGCACTAACCATCAAGGATGTACTGTATAATACAGGGTACTGTACTTTTATTCGGATTTACATAAATATATTCCTTTTTGGATTCTCTTCCACTCTAGGTTGTTTCAAAGTGTTGAGTATAGTACCTTGTGCTTCCCAGGTACCTTCGGGGTAAAGAAACCACCTGCTAATACAGGAGACATAAGAAACTCGGGTTCCATCCCTGAGTGGGGAAGATCCCCTGGAGGAGGACATGGCAAGCCACTCCAGTATTCTTGCCTGGAGAATCCCATGGACAGAGGAGCCTGGCGGGCTACAGTCCATGGGGTCTCAAAGAGTCAGACGCGACTGAGCAACTTAGCATGCTTGCACACATATACACACATTTGTATAAGTGCATCACTCTGCTGTACGCCTTAAACTAACACAACCCAGCATATGACCTCTACTTTGATGGAAAAAAAAGTTTTTTTTAACATGCAGATCAGAAAAGAGAAGCAAAACTGTATCCATCTGCAGATGACTGTTATATATAGAAAATCTTGACGAGGCTCCACTAAAAAAAAAAAAATCTTTGAACTAATACCCAGATTTGGCCTGGCGGCAAGGCATAAGATTCAGACACAAACGCAAGTGCTGTGGACCATGCAAAAAATGAAATTCAGAAAACAAGTCTATTTGCAGTAGCATCCAAAAGATTGAAATATGTCCATTTTTGTTGTTGTTCAGTTGCTAAGTCTTTTTTTTTTTTTAAATTGGAGGCTAACTACTTTACAATATTGTATTGGTTTTGCCGTACATAGACATGAATCAGCCACGGGTGCACATGTGTTCCCCATCCTGAACCCCCCTCCCACCTCCCTCCCCATCCCATCCCGCTGGGTCTTCCCGCTGCACCAGCCCCGAGCGCTTGTCTCATGCATCCAACCTGGGCTGGTGATCCATTTCACATAAGATAATATACATGTTTCAGTGCTCTTCCCTCAAATCATCCCACCCTCGCCTTCTCCCACAGAGTCCAAAAGTCTGTTCTTTACATCTGTGTCTCTTTTGCTGTTTTGCATACAGGGTTATCGTTACCATCTTTCTAAATTCCATATGTATGCGTTAGTATACTGTATACCTCATTAGAACTGATTCAAATGCATCCTCTTTAATAACTGAGTAATATTCCGTTGTGTATATGTACCACAGCTTCCTCATCCATTCGTCTGCTGATGGGCATCTAGGTTGCTTCCATGTCCTGGCTATTATAAACAGTGCTGCGATGAACATTGGGGTGCACGTGTCTCTTTCAGATCTGGTTTCCTCGGTGTGTATGCCCAGCAGTGGGATTGCTGGGTCATATGGCAGTTCCATTTCCAGTTTTTTAAGGAATCTCACAGTTAACCTTTAATAAAGGGTAAAAGGTACTGTGTGTTGTGGCGGGGGAAACCCAAGCCTCAAACAGAGACACTGAAAATGGGAACACGCATGCGCTGTGTTAAAGGGACCGTCCCCCGGCCAGCAGCCCTTGTAAGTCGGCGGTCACTCTGGAGGACTCTGTGCCCCAGGCCCTCGGCCCCATCTTCCAACCTCTCTGCACACTGTCCTGAAAGACTCTTAGCTGCCACCCAGGACCAGGCATCATCTCCTTTACTCTCGTTTGCCTTGTCCGCAGACCCTGCTGGGAGGTCTCAGCTGGTCTCAGAACACGCCAGGGCGATGAAGATGAAGAAAAGGGCAGAAGGTGAAAACGCAGAGACTGTCGCACAGACTCAAGGGGGTCGGAAAGAGAAAGACAAGTGTCGCATCTTGACAGGTTTATGAGGAATCTGGAAACATGGCAGAGATGCTCCCGCTTGCAAAGCAGAAATAGAGACACAGACGTAGGGACTCGGGGGAAGGTTGGGGTGGGATGGATTGGGAAATGGAGATGGACGTGTATGCACTGTTGAGGCGTGCGTGCTAAGTCGCTGCAGTCGTGTCTGACTCTCTGCGACCCCGTGGACTGTAGCCCCGCCAGGCTTCTCTGTCCCTGGGAGTCTCCAGGCAAGAACACTGGAGTGGGTTGCCATGTCCTCCTCCAGGGGAGTCTTCCTGACGCAGAGATCAGACTCGTGTCTCGTAACGTCTCCTGCGTTGGCATGCAGATTCTTTACCACTAGCGCCACCTGGGAAGCCCATATTGACATGGATACGATGTAGGTGATGCATCATTATACACGTTGGCATGTACAATATATCAATAGTGTGCATATTGATACTATAAATGTAGTAGATAATTGGAACCTACCGTACATCACAGAAAGCTCTACTTAGGCCTCCGTGGAGACCTAATGTGAGGGAAATCCAATAAAGAGGGGATACACCTGCTGAAGCGCCAATCCTTTTGCCGCCTGCTGTGAAGCGCCAACTCCTTGGAAAAGACCCTGATGCTGGGAAACATTGAAGGCGGGAAGAGAAGGGGATGACAGAGGATGAGATGGTTGGATGGCATCACCGACTCGATGGACAGGAATTTGAGTAAACTCCAAGAGTTGGTGATGGACAGGGAGGCCTGGCGTGCTGCAGTCCACGGGGGCTGCAAAGAGTCGGACAGGACTGAGCAACTGACCTGAACTGAGCTGAGGGGACTAACCTGGTGACTGATGTGAGTCGACTTGGGGAAGCTCCGGGTCCAGTCCTTGGGAAGACGACCCTCCCCACCCACGTCTGTGATGAAAATGCTCACTGAGGGGCTTCCCTGGTGGGCCCAGCAGGGAGGAACCCTCCTGCCACTGCAGCAGACAGCGGTTCCATCCCCGATCGGGGGTGGGGGGGGGGAATCCCACGTTCCCTGGAGCAGGTAAGCCCGTGCATCACAACTGCCGAAACCCGGGGGGCCCTGGAGCCCACGCTGCATAAGAAAAGCCGCTGCAGCGACACGCCTGTGTGCCCCAGCTCGAGAAAACCACAGCACGGTCCAGAAAATCAAATAAGTTAAAAAAAGAAAAATTGAGCAGTGAGACCAGACTCACCTGGTCCCTGCACTGAGAGGACTTGGTGAAGCGTCTGGCCCGACTCTAAGAAAGACGACCTTCTCCTCGCGAGTGGATGGGAGCGGGTGTGGAGGAGACCAGAGGACCCACCTGTCCCAGTTCCTCCCAGCGGCAGGCGTGGCAAGGGGAGGGGAGGGAATCTAGGGGAAGAAAACAGGAACACGGCTGAAGGCGTCCGTCCCGTCACTGTCGGATGAGGAAGAGAGGCGTCGGGGCGCTGGGACGGGCAAGGCTCGCGGGAGAGCGATGGGGATCGCAGGTCGGCAGACGCGAGTGTGGGGTGTGTGTGTCGGAGGGGTGGGGTGTGACCCGGTCCCCCGTGACCCCCGGGGTCCCCGAAAGTGTCATTTTCCTGCTTCTGTTGCTGCCCCGGACGGCTGGCGCTCCAGGTGGGTCAGAACAAAAGTTGCTCTGCCGCGCCGGGTGCTAACTCACTTCAGCCGTGTCCGAGTCTCTGCGACCCCGTGGGACTGTAGCCCCGCCGGCCTCCTCTGTCCGTGGGGATTCTCCAGGCAAGAATCCTGGAGTGGGTGGCCGTGCCCTACCTCCAGGGGATCTTCCCGACCCAGAGGTCAAAGCTGGTGCCCTACCTCCAGGGGATCTTCCCGACCCAGGGGTCAAAGCTGGGTCTCCTGCATGGGCAGGCGGATTCTGTTCCGTGCGCACAAGCTGGGAAGCCCCTGTAACCTGAGGGAGTGCAGTGAAAACACCTTTCCGATGCGGGGCGCCCAGGCAGACGGCGTGACCGCTGGGGGGTAGCGTGTGGGCGCCGCGTTCTTAGGTCCGGATGAGCCCCGGGGGGAGCTGGCCAGGTCGGGGTGGGAGATTTCGGAGTTCCCCGGGGCCAGCCCGTGTCTGTGGGGACTGGAAACCATGCTTGGGTTTGCGAGCTGTGTGTATGCTGCGGTGATGGGGCCCCGTCGGGGTTACAGGTCTCGCCTGGGACGCTGGCGTTGCATTTTGTGTGGCTCCGTTGATCAAGAATCCGCCTGCATTGCAGGAGACCCCGGTTCGATTCCTGGGTCAGGAAGATCCGCTGGAGAAGGGATAGGCTACCCACTGCAGCATTCTTGGGCTTTCCTGGTAGCTCAGCTGCTAAACAATCTGGCTGCAATGGGGGAGACCTGGGTTCGATCTCTAGGTTGGGAAGCTTCCCCTGGAGATGGGAAAGGCTACCCACTCCAGTATTCTGGCCTGGAGAATCCCATACAGTCCATGGGGTCGCAAAGAGTCAGACACAACTGAGCGACTTCCACTCACGCGCTCCCCGGCACGCCTAAAACCACGGTGAGCTCCACGGGCAAGCTCGTGCCAGGGTCCCCCTTGGACCGGCCTCCCGGTTACCCAGCCCCCTCCGCAGGGCGTGTCCTGAATCTGAGAGACGGCGGCGGTCCCCTCCGCCCAGCCTACACGATCTCAAAACTGAAATCTTTAAATGGGGAAAGAAAGCGCGGCCTGGTGACCACCAAAACAAGAAGGGAAAGCGGGCATGAAGAAACAAAGGGCGACTCGATTCCATTTACAGGCAGCAAGGCATCAGAGGGGAGTCCACGGAGGCAGAAAGTGGGTGCGTGGTCGGAGGCGCTGGGGGCCGAGGGCTGGAGGCTGACTGCTCACGGGGACAGGTCTCCCTTGAGGAGATGGGAAGCTTCTGCAGCCAGGCTTTGCGGATGTGCAGAGTGTCACTGCCTTGCACGAGGGGCCTGCCCGGGTGCCTCAGCTGGTAAAGAATCGGTCTGCCGATGGAGGAGACGCGGGTTCCATCCCCGGTTCGGGAGGATCCCCTGGAGCAGGAAATGGCAACCCACTCCAGTGTTCTTGCCTGGAGAATCCCCATGGACAGAGGAGCCTGGTGGGCTACGGTCCACGGGGTCGCAGAGAGTCAGACACGACTTGACGACTGAGCATACAGGCTTGCATCCCGTGTGAATTTAGCCTGAATTCCCAAAAAAAAAAAAAAGGCAAAATTAAGTGAAACAGCAATAAGATTTCTGTGGGTTTCGGTCTTCTGACCAATTCTGTGAGGCTCCTGGAAGTGCTTCGTAGGATGGGGAGTGACAGTTAAACCAGGGATTGGCTGAATAAGATACATCATGTCGTTATTCAGTCGCTCAGTCATGTCTGACCCTCTGCGACCCCGTGGACTGCAGCACGCCAGGCCTCCCTGTCCGTCACCATCTCCCGGAGTTTGCTCAAACCCATGTCCATCGAGTCGGTGATGCCATCCAACCATCTCATCCTCTGACGTCCCCTTCTCCTCCCGCCCTCAATCTTTCCCGGCATCAGGGTCTTTCCCAATGAGTCAGCTCTTTGCATTGGGTGGTCAAAGTATTAGAGCTTGAGCTTCAGCATCAGTGAATACTCAGGACTGACTTCCTTTAGGATGGACTGGTTGGATCTCCTTGCTGTCCACGGGACTCTCAAGAGCCTTCTCCAATGCTAGGATGCATCACGCTCATTGCAGAGTCTCCTTCGGAGATTTCCTCACAATCCTTGACCAAGAGCCGGGGTCTGCGGTGAGCTGATTATTTGAAGCGAGCAGCTTCTGGGGCTGGATTTCTGAGTCCCTTTGCGGTACATGAGAACTCTTTTTTTCAGTCAAGGTTACAGCAGTTTCTGGTTTTTGCTCCATCACGATGAGCAGGAAGCTGACGGGAGTTCAACGCACAGGAAGTCAGTGGGGAAGTTGGGGTGAAGGGTGTTGATGAGTCCGGTGCGGGGGGGTGATGCGTGTGTGACCCCCTCCGCGTGTCCACCCAGAGGCCAGTACGGCGCTATGGCCCGCGGAGGAGAAAGCGGGACTCAGGGAGCTTGGTGAGACAGGTGCTGCCATCGCCGAGGAGATGTGGAGATGGGTCAGGCTGTGGTCCCCTCCTCCCCCTGCCCCGTCTCCCGTTAAGCAAAGCTCAGACCACAGACATTTCGCAAATTGCAGATGTGAAAATCCAGGCACGCAGCAAGAGCCGTGGGTGTGTGTTGATTGAGGAAGGTCCTCTCTGAGAGGTTCCAGGGTGCAGTGGGCAGGCAACCACACCCCCTCCCCACTGCAGGAAAACAGCCTCCCCCGGAGGGGATCAGACAGCAGACCCCCGAGAAAGGCGAAGTCTGCGTGGGGCAGGGCCATGGCGTGGGTCCCTGAGGCGGGGTAACAGGAAATGACGGTCAGGTGGGCAAGTTGGAACGGTTCTGGTGGGTGGTTTGGTTTGGTTTGGTTTCTTCCCCCCGCTGTGATGGCAAGTGAGGTTCCCTGGGGGGAACGGGGTAGAAGGTGTGGGGCGGGGGGCAGGAATCTGAGGCTGGGTGCTTGTCTGCAGGAGTGCTGACGGACAGGTTGGCCCTGTCCCTAAGTGGGGAGGGTGCTTGCGGTCCTCCATCCTCGGCGTCCGGCCCGGAGGACCTGGTGAAAATGCAGACAGTCTGAATGAGTCTGAGAAGAGAAGGCGGGGGAGTGGGCAGAGGAGGGTGGGTATCTGGAAACAGCAGAGAATCAAATATAGGAGGCCCAGGGGACTTGTTAGCAGAGACGCCGAGAGTGTCGGGAGTCGGGGGTGGGTCAACAGTTACAAAAAAAAAAATCTGCCTGCAAGACAGAAGATGCAGGAAACGCCGTAGGTTCGATCCCTGAGTTGGGAAGATGCCTTCGAGGAGGGCGTGGCAACCCACTCCAGTATTCTTGCCTGGAGAATCCCACGGACAGAGGAGCCTGGCGGGCTACAGTCCACGGGGTTGCAAAGTCAGACTCGCACCTGAGCAAGAGGAGGGCCTGGTCTGGAGCGTGTGGTGTCAGCAGACGGTGACCGTCACGAATGTGTCTCCGAGACGTGACCCAGGGGGACTGGGCGAGCGAGGGCAGCTGGGGTGCAGGGCCGTGGGGGGCGTCTTTCCCGGTGGAGATGCCCGCGGGAGCCAGGAGGTTCCCCCCGTGGAGGCACCTGTGTCGCCAGAGGGGAGACGCGGGCCAAGAATGGGATGCCGTGCGGAATGTGCGCCGGCCATCTGCGGGTGGTGGGTCCCCCAAGGGAGTCCGAGCACCTGGGTGGAGGGGGGACGAAGCCCCCTGGGTGGGGACGGGAGCCTGAAGGCCCTGAACTGGACGTGCATCCGAGATGCAAGGTCCTCGGAGCGGAGCGGAGCTACGGCTGAGTGGAGAGGTGGAAGATGGTCTGTGAGGACCAGAGGGAGGAAGAGGAAGATGGAAGGTGACAGGAACGATGCAGGGATGCAGGGAGGGGGAGAAAAGGAAGGGAGGGATACAGGGAAACAGGCAAGGAGGAAAAAAGATCAGAGAGGAAAAAAATGCCGTGTCATTTCTCACGGCAACCCCCAGGAAAGGAACTTCCCAAGAGACAGAAAGCCAGCTTGAGACCGGTAGACTCCATAAACCCAAGCACATGATCGAAAATTCGACCGTGCCTGGTAAAATAGAGACAGGTAGGCGGGAACCCTCTGGGTAAAGATACAGGGTCCAGAGGATGGGATTCCCGGGAGCAGGGGGAGATGAGGAGGGGGTCTGCTAGAACGGAGCTCGAGACAAATGGAGATGTGCACCGTACACAAATGTAAAGGCACATTGCAAGTGACAGCAATACCGGAAAGGAATCACCCCGACCAGAACCAGCCGGGTCTGATTTTTGGTGGCCCCGTGGACCATAGCCCCGCCAGGCTCCTCTGTCCGTGGGAGGGATTCTCCAGACGAGATCGCTGTAGTGGGTTGCCGCACCCTCCTCCAGGGGATCTTCCCGGCCGGGGAATCGAAACCGAGTCTCCTGCGTTGGCAGGCGGGCCCTTCACCACCTGAGCCACCGGGGAAACACAACCTAAAAACACTGCTAGGGAAACGGTGGGCACGTCCACAGATGCCACCCCAAACCCAGCTGGACAATCAGCTGCTTTCTGTGGAGTGTGACTTTGTGGGGGATAGAGCACGGTACCTTTGTAGTTTTTTTTTTTTTAAGTTTAATCTTTTAATTTTATATTTTTGCCCGAGATGTGCAGCATATGAGATCTTAGTTCCCCAGCCAGCGATGGAACCCGAGCCTCCTGCGTGGGAAGCTCTCCGTCTTAACACCTGGACCACCAGGGAACTCCCTAAATTTTTTGTTTAATGTTATTCGAGTTTATTTGTCTGGGGCGAGTGTAGGTTTGCAGAAACATGAGGTTTGGAAAGTGTTGGGAATTCCTGTGTACCCACTTCCCCCTACAGTTAGTTCCGCAATGGTGGACACCAAGCGTCAGTGTGGAACGTCTCTTGCAATTGATGGAGCAAGTTTGGCGCTACATTCTCGACTCAAAGTCATAATTTGCATTAGGGGGTCACTCCAATAATTTGGCTGCCGGATGCGAAGAGCTGAGTCATTGGAAAACACCCTGATGCTGGGAAAGATTGAGGGCGGGAGGAGAAGGGGGCGACAGAGGATGAGACGGTTGGATGGCATCACCCACTCCATGGACATGAGTTTGAGTAAACTCCGGGAGTTGGTGATGGACAGGGAGGCCTGGCGTGCTGCAGTCCATGGGGTCGCAAAGGGTCGGACACGAGTGAGCGACTGGACTGAACGGAACTGAACTTGCTGTTGGACGTTCTGGGGGTTTGGACAAACGTGTGATGGCATGTTTCTGTCATTAGAGCAGACTATTTCCACTGCCCTAAAAGTTTCCTGTCCTGCACCTGCTCATCCCTCTGTTCTCGTAACCTCTGGCAACCACTGATGCTTTTTTCTGTTATCCACTGTTGGTGTTCACTCACTCACTCGTGTCTCACTCTTTGAGACTCCTTGGGCTGAAGCCCGCCAGGCCTCCCTGTCCTTTACCATCTCCTGGAGTTTGTTCAGACTCGTCTCCACCGTCTCCTGGAGTTTGTTCAGACTCACGTCCATTGAGTCGGTGATGCCATCCAGCCGTCTCTTCCTCTGTCGTCCCCTTCTGCTCCCGCCTTCAATCTCTCCCAGCATCAGGGTCTTTTCCAGTGAGTCAGCTCTTCGCATCAGGTGGCCAGAGTATTGGAGCTTCAGCTTCAGCTTCAGTCCTTCCAATGAATATTCAGGACTGATTTCCTTTAGGGTTGACTGGTTTGATCTCCTTGCAGTCCAACGGACTCTCAATAGGGTTCTCCACCACCACAGTCTGAAAGCATTGATTCTTTTGCGCTCAGCTATAGTTTTACCTTTTCCAGAAAGTCACAGAACTGGAATCACGCACTGTGTGTGTGCTAAATCGCTCAGTCATGCCCGACTCTTTGGGACCCCATGGATTATAGCCCGCCAGACTCCTCCGTCCATGGGATTCTCCAGGCAGGAATAATGGAGTGCGTTGCCATTCCCTCCTCCAGGGGACCTTCCCAACCCAGGGATCAAACCAGGATCTCTTAAGTCTCCTGTGTTGGCAGGCAGATTCTCTACCACTAGCGCCACCTGGGAAGCCCATGCACTCTGAACCCTCTTTCAAATTGTCTACTTAGTTAATTAATTTATTTTTTTGGCTGCACCGTGTACCCTGGGGGATCTTAGAACACTGACCAAGGATGGAAACCACAGCCTCCGGCGTGGGGAGCGTGGAGTCTTAACCACTGTAAGCAAGTGACCCAGGATGCTGGCCAGGTCACATTGTCGATGCCGACCACCACCCTGGAGAGAGTCCTGTGGTTTTTTTTTTTTTCCTTCCCCCATCTCCCTGGGGAAACATCACTGGTGTCTGCATCAAGACTCCCACGAAGGCTGGTTTTTCTCTCCCTGCAGAGCTTGTGCGTCGTCCGGGAAGCCCCGCGAGTCTCCTGGCCGTGGCTGTCCTCCTGACTATGGTGCTCGACTCTGCGTGGCTTCTCCCCCAGGAGCAGCAGGGTGAGTATGTGAACGTGCCTGACCTCTTTCTGCCTCCCCTGTTCCCCGGACCCCAGCTTCTGAGACACGTGCCTATCAGTTCAGTTCAGTCACTCAGTCCTGTCTGACTCTTAGCGACCCCATGGACCGCAGCACGCCAGGCCTCCTTGTCCATCACCAACTCCCGGAGCTTGCTCAAATTCGTGTCCATGGAGTCGGTGATGCCATCCAACTATCTCATCCTCTGTCGTCCCCTTCTCCTCCTGCCCTCAGTCTTTCCCAGCATCAGGGTCTTTCCCAATGAGTCGCTTCTCCACATCAGGTGGCCAAAGGATTGGAGTTTCAGCTTCAGCATCGGTCCTTCCAATGAATATTCAGGACTGTTCTCCTTTAGGATGGACTTGTCTGATCTCCTTGCAGTCCAAGGGACTCTCAAGAGTCTTCTCCAACACCACAGTTCAAAAGCATCAATTCTTCGGAGCTCAGCTTTCTGTATGGCCCAGCTCTCACATCCATACATGACCACTGGGAAAACCATAGCTTTGACTGGACGGACCTTTGTTGGCATGCCTGTAGGCATAGCCATGGGTGCGGCTGTGTCTAGTTTCATGATTTTCCCTCTATTCCGCAGTCTGCCGGCGTTATACCTCCTGTTGTGTTCGCCCCTTGTGGTTATGTGAATAGTCCCGCACCCATCCTGCAGAGACAGGTGATGGTGCCCGTGACAAGATGGGAATAGATAGCCTCCGCTCCTTCTCACTTGCTTGGTCTTCATTTATTGTCGTGGTAGACGTCTCCCCTTGGCCTGCCCTGGTGGCCCAGAGGTGAAGAATCTGCCTTCAGTGCAGGAGATACGGGTTCCATCCTTGGGTTGGGAAGACCCTCCCCCCGCCCCCAGAGGAGGACATGGCTTAGTGACCGAACAACAACAGCAGAAACATCCTTCCACTTGGAGAAAGGGGCAGGAAGCAGAGACGGGACAGACAGTAGGGGACAGAGAGGATTTGACAAGAGGTGGTTTACAGTTGATTCCCCACCGCCGATCCTTGCTTGCAAGACCTCAGACGAATTGCTTAAGTGGGTATGGAGTTGGGAAAGGGGGAGTTTTTTTTCATTCCTGAGGTCACGTCTTCCAGATCTTCCAACCGTGAAGCCAAACTCCAGTCTCAATGTGAAGTTTGACCCAAAGACGACGAGGCTGACTTGGGACTGCAAGGAGAACACTACGTACGGGGAGTGCGTGTTGATTCACAAGGAGAAGGGGCTGATTAAGAAAAAGGTGAGGTGGTGTGGGCACGAGCTTGAGGAAACTCGGGGAGATGGTGAAGGACAAGGGGAGCCTGGCGTGCTGCAGTCCCTGGGGTCGCAAAGAGTCGGACTGAGGGGCTGAGCAGCAACAAGGAGGTAGATTGGACGGGCCCCGTTGCTGTCCTTTGCAGAAAAGGATATTCGACAATTTATTCCCTCCACGTCAAGCGCGGGAGACAAAAACACAAGCGGGACTGGGGTTGCATCGAGGAAGTCATGGTTCGAGGTGCACCAGGGAAGTGACCCTCGTCTCCAGGATGCATTCAGTAGGCTGACTCTCCCTGCGGGGAGAGCCACGTTCTTTGGCTTCGTTGGTCCACGTGCTAGACTTGATCCTGAGAAAGAAACAGCGTTCACCCTGCCTGTTAGGTGGAAACAAACTGAAGAGACTGACTTGGATACAGTGTCAGGATGCCATCCCTGAGAGAATGACTATGAGATCAGACAAGAAAAATCAATCCCGTAGAAGAGGGTGTGCGGACTTGCCTGCTGGTTTAAGACTTTGAGCTGCCAGTGGAGGGGTTGTGGGTTCAGTCCCTGGTCGGGGAACTAAGATCCCCACAAGCTGCATGCTGTGGCCAGAAACACACGCGGGGAGTGTGAGGTTCCAGAGAAAGGTAAAGCGGTGAGGGCGCAAAGAACGGTCCAGCCTGCATCCCTTGGGAGTTTTGCGAGGAACAGAGGCTCCCAGACCTCACCTGGGACTTGTCTAACCAGACTGTGCGTTTTTACAAGATCCCTGGTGAGCTACGGGTGGGTTCGGAGGGAGGTTTAGGAGGGAGGGGACATAGGTATACTTCCAGCTGATTCACGTTCTTGCAGCAAAAACTTAACAGAACGTTGTAAAGCCATCACGTGCATGTGCCTTCAGTCATGTCTGACTGTTTGCGATGCAATGGACTGTAGCCCGCCAGGCTCCTCTGTCCATGGGATTCTCCAGGCAAGGATACTGGGGTGGGCTGCTATGCCCTCCTCCAGAGGATCTTTCCCATCCGAGGGATGGAACCCACGTCTCTTGCGTCACCTGCATTGCAGGTAGATTCTTTACCCACTGAGCCACCTGCAAAGCCCAAAGCGGTTATAACTCCAATTAAAAATAAACTTTTTTTCTTTTTTTTAAAAAGGTGAGCTCTGAACACTGCCTTTCTGAACCTTGCTAGTTAGTGGCCCTCTTCCCAAAGAAGGTACCTGGGCGAGATTTCACGTAGGGAGGTGAACGTCGTGCCGGGGGTCAGTGTAGGAGCAGATAGCGTTTGAGGATGAGAGGAAAGAAGACAGGCTCTTCTTAACCCACTGGCTGGTTGCATCTCTTCAGGTCAAAGACAGCGAATGTCACTGCACATTTCCGGACTGTTCTCTCCACGGGGGAGTCACGCTCGCCGTCCAAATAAATGTCAACCAGAGACGGCTTTCAGAAAGGCTGGTCTACAGTAACCCAGGTAGGGAAAACACGGCGGGTGACCCTTCTGCTCCCCACGAGCATTCAGAGTCCACCGTCCCGCCTATTTCAGCTTCACGGAGATACGTTTGACGCACAGCAGTTGTGTATCTCTGGGGATTTTTTGGGCTTTGTCATTTCGGTGTTTTTGGTTTTGGCGGTCCTTTGCGGCTTGTGGAAGCTGACATCCCTGACCGGGGACTGAACCCAGGCCCACAGCAGTGAAACTGCGGAGCCCTAACCACTGGGCCGCCACGGAATTCCCACATGTGCCGTTTCGATGTGTACGCGCTCTGCGAAATGGTGACCGCAAACAAGCTGTTAATGCATCTATTCGGTTTCGTCTGTTCTTGTTGGTTGCTTGGTTGGTTTTGTGTGTGTGTGTGTGGTGAGAACCCTGAAGTGATCTTCCCTCTTCAGTTCAGTTTGGTCTGACTCTGTGACCCCATGGACCGCAGCACGCCAGGCCTCCCTGTCCATCACCAACCCCTGGAGCTTGCTCAAACTCATGTCCATCGAGTCGGTGAGGCCATCCAACCATCGCATCCTCTGTCGTCCCCTTCTCCTCCTGCCTGCAATCTTTCCCAGCACCAGGGGCTTTTCCAGTGAGTCAGCTCTTCGCATCAGGTGGCCAAAGGATTGAAGTTTCAGCTTCAGCATCAGTCCTTCCAATGAACACCCAGGACTGATCTGTAGGATGGACTGGTTAGATCTCCTTGCAGTCCAAGCGACTCTCAAGAGTCTTCTCCAACACCACAGTTCAAAAGCATCAGTTCTTCAGCACTCAGCTTTCTTCACAGTCCAACTCTCACATCCATACATGACCACTGGAAAAACCATAGCCTTGACCAGACGGACCTTTGTCGCAGACTAATGTCTCTGCCTTTTAATATGCTATCTACGTTGGTCATAGCTTTTCTTCCTTTGAGCAAGCGTCTTTTAATTTCATTTCTTTTCTCTTAGGGAATTTCAAGTGGACAATGCAATATTGTCAACTGTATCCATCACCTTGTGTGTTAGATCCCTGGAACTTATTCTTCTGTTTTTCGGGAAGAGCCTGAGAACGACCGGTATCGATTCTTCTTTGAATCATGAAGACATCGGGTCCATCCCCGTTTAAACGTCATTCTTTTGTTTCTGTCCCTTCCCAGGTAGGGAGGGCACAGCTGCCCGAAACTTCTCCTGTGTCATCTACGACGCGGATTTCATGAACTGCAGCTGGGCCAGGGGCCGAGCGGCCCCCGACGACGTCCAGTATTTTTTGTACACGCGATCAAAGTAAGTGTCGACCTCACGTAGACCACCCTGGGAGATGATGTGCAGAAGTGAAAACTGCCCTGACGATTCTCTGAACGTTTTGGGGGTCTCACAGGAAAAGAATCGAAAGGGAATGTCCTCATTACCTGAAAGACTCGGGGACCCACGTGGGATGTCACCTCCGAGACCTCTCGGGGTTAACGTCATACAGTTACTTCCTGGTTAACGGCACCAGCCAAGAAACGGGAATCCAGTTCTTCGACTCGCTTTTGCTGTTAAAGGAAATAGGTGAGAACCACCACCCGGCATTTGAAAGCACTGATTAGTTTGATGTGACAGAATTTGTGTGGGCATCTGCATTGAGGTTCCCGGAGATGCTATAAAAAATGACCACAGACTGGGAGGCTTCAAAGAGCGGAAATGTTTTGTCCCAGGGTTCTGGAGGTCACAATTTGTGGTCCCTTTTTGGAGCATCTGAAAGAACACCCGCTCCCACGTCTGAATGCTAGCTCCTGGTGAGAGCCAGCAGCCCTTGCTTCCAGACGAATTATTGCAGGCTCGGAACCTGCTCCCTCTTCCTGGTGAAATCGGGGGCTCCTGTTCGTGTCGGGATGGCAGAAACGGGTCTCCCCTCCGTGGTCCAGGGGAGGCATTCCGCATCAGAGGCGTCTCCGGGGCGGGGGCGGGGGTCTCTTACAGAGCGGTACAACGCTCCCGACAATATCACCGTCCACTGCAACGAGTCCCACTGCCTCGTCCGGTGGGAACAGCCCAGGACCCGGCAGCCTCGGTCCAACAGGGAGTTCCAGTACCAGCTGGACGTCCAGAGATGGGTGAGCGGACTCGGCTCCGAGCAGGGAGCCTGGCAGGCAGCCCCGGCGCCCCACACCAAAGAGCGTGCGGGAGGGGTGGGCGTCGGGGGAGGTCCAGGGTCCGCTGCAAGGCCAGCTGGACCCAGTGTAGACACGGGTGAGCCCTCGGAAACCTGGCTGCCCAGACCCAGCGTAGAGAAGAAAGCAGGATATGTCCCCTGGGACCCATTGGACCAGACGCCTCTACTCCATGTCCAACTGGGCCCAGCGTGGACACGGGTGAGGCCACGGAAGCCTGACTGCCAAGCCCCAGCGTAGATAAGAAAGCAGGATCCCTCTCCTACAGGTCCACGGGGACCCATGTTAGACACGGGCCCGCTGCTCATGTCCATCCGGACCCAGTGTAGACGTGACTCATCTCCTCACGTCCCCCTGACGAAGTCTAGACGTGACTCACCTCCTCACGTCCCCCTGACCCAGTGTAGACATGACTCACCTCCTCACGTCCCCCTGACCCAGTGTAGACGTGACCCACCTCCTCACGTCCCCCTGACCCAGTGTAGACGTGACCCACCTCCTCACGTCCCCCTGACCCAGTGTAGACATGACCCACCTCCTCACGTCCCCCTGACCCAGTGTAGACGTGAAACACCTCCTCACGTCCCCCTGACACAGTGTAGACGTGACACACCTCCTCACGTCCCCCTGACACAGTGTAGACGTGACTCACCTCCTCACGTCCCCCTGACCCAGTGTAGACATGAGTCACCTCCTGACGTCCCCCGACCCAGTGAAGCCGTGACTCACCTCCTCACGTCCCCCTGACCCAGTGTAGACATGAGTCACCTCCTCACGTCCCCCGACCCAGTGTAGATGTGACTCACCTCCTCACGTCCCCCTGACCCAGTGTAGACGTGCCTCACCTCCTCACGTCCCCCTGACCCAGTGTAGACGTGCCTCACCTCCTCACGTCCCCCTGACCCAGTGTAGACATGACTCACCCTCACGTCCCCCTGAACCAGTGTAGACGTGACTCACCTCCTCACGTCCCCCTGACCCAGTGTAGACATGACCCACCTCCTCACGTCCCCCTGACCCAGTGTAGACGTGCCTCACCTCCTCACGTCCCCCTGACCCAGTGTAGACGTGACACCTCCTCACGTCCCCCTGACCCAGTGTAGACGTGAATCACCTCCTCACGTCCCCCTGACCCAGTGTAGACATGAGTCACCTCCTCACGTCCCCCTGACCCAGTGTAGACATGACTCACCTCCTCACGTCCCCCTGACCCAGTGTAGACATGAGTCACCTCCTCACGTCCCCCTGACCCAGTGTAGATGTGACTCACCTCCTCACGTCCCCCCGACACAGTGTAGACGTGCCTCACCTCCTCACGTCCCCCTGACCCAGTGTAGACGTGACTCACCCTCACGTCCCCCTGACCCAGTGTAGACATGACTCACCTCCTCACGTCCCCCTGACCCAGTGTAGACGTGCCTCACCTCCTCACGTCCCCCTGACGCAGTGTAGACATGAATCACCTACTCACGTCCCCCTGACCCAGTGTAGACGTGCCTCACCTCCTCACGTCCCCCTGACCCAGTGTACACGTGACTCACCCTCACGTCCCCCTGACTCAGTGTAGACGTGACTCACCTCCTCACGTCCCCCTGACACAGTGTAGACGTGCCTCACCTCCTCACGTCCCCCTGACCCAGTGTACACGTGACTCACCCTCACGTCCCCCTGACTCAGTGTAGACGTGACTCACCTCCTCACGTCCCCCTGAGCCAGTGTCGACGTGACTCACCTCCTCACGTCCCCCTGACCCAGTGTAGACATGAGTCACCTCCTCACGTCCCCCTGACACAGTGTAGACATGAGTCACCTCCTCACGTCCCCCTGACCCAGTGTAGACATGAGTCACCTCCTCACGTCCCCCTGACCCAGTGTAGACGTGACACACCTCCTCACGTCCCCCTGACCCAGTGTAGACGTGCCTCACCTCCTCACGTCCCCCTGACCCAGTGTAGACGTGACTCACCTCCTCACGTCCCCCTGACCCAGTGTAGACGTGAGTCACCTCCTCACGTCCCCCTGACCCAGTGTAGACGTGACTCACCCTCACGTCCCCCTGACTCAGTGTAGACGTGACTCACCTCCTCACATCCCCCTGACCCAGTGTCGACGTGACTCACCTCCTCACGTCCCCCTGACCCAGTGTACACGTGACTCACCCTCCTCACGTCCCCCTGACCCAGTGTAGACATGAGTAACCTCCTCACGTCCCCCTGACCCAGTGTAGACGTGACACACCTCCTCACGTCCCCCTGACCCAGTGTAGACGTGCCTCACCTCCTCACGTCCCCCTGACCCAGTGTAGACGTGACTCACCCTCCTCACGTCCCGCTGACCCAGTGTAGACATGAGTCACCTCCTCACGTCCCCCTGACCCAGTGTAGACGTGACTCACCCTCACGTCCCCCTGAGCCAGTGTCGACGTGACTCACCTCCTCACGTCCCCCTGACCCAGTGTAGACATGAGTCACCTCCTCACTTCCCCCTGACCCAGTGTCGACGTGACTCACCTCCTCACGTCCCCCTGACCCAGTGTAGACATGAGTCACCTCCTCACTTCCCCCTGACCCAGTGTAGACATGCCTCACCTCCTCACGTCCCCCTGACCCAGTGTAGACACGAGTCACCTCCTCACGTCCCCCCTGACCCAGTGTAGACATGACTCACCTCCTCACGTCCCCCTGACTCAGTGTAGACGTGACTCACCTCCTCATGTCCCCCTGACCCAGTGTAGACGTGCCTCACCTCCTCACGTCCCCCTGACCCAGTGTAGACGTGCCTCACCTCCTCACGTCCCCCTGACCCAGTGTAGACGTGACTCACCTTCTCACGTCCCCCCGACCCAGTGTAGACGTGACTCACCTCCTCACGTCCCCCTGACCCAGTGTAGACGTGCCTCACCTCCTCACGTCCCCCTGACCCAGTGTAGACGTGACTCACCTCCTCACGTCCCCCTGACCCAGTGTAGACATGAGTCACCTCCTCACGTCCCCCTGACCCAGTGTAGACGTGACTCACCCTCACGTCCCCCTGACTCAGTGTAGACGTGACTCACCTCCTCACGTCCCCCTGACCCAGTGTCGACGTGACCCACCTCCTCACGTCCCCCTGACCCAGTGTAGACATGACTCACCCTCCTCACGTCCCCCTGACCCAGTGTAGACATGAGTCACCTCCTCACGTCCCCCTGACCCAGTGTAGACGTGACACACCTCCTCACGTCCCCCTGACCCAGTGTAGACGTGCCTCACCTCCTCACGTCCCCCTGACCCAGTGTAGACGTGACTCACCTCCTCACGTCCCCCTGACCCAGTGTAGACATGAGTCACCTCCTCACGTCCCCCTGACCCAGTGTAGACGTGACTCACCCTCACGTACCCCTGACCCAGTGTAGACATGAGTCACCTCCTCACGTCCCCCTGACGCAGTGTAGACATGACTCACCTCCTCACGTCCCCCTGACCCAGTGTAGACATGAGTCACCTCCTCACGTCCCCCTGACCCAGTGTAGACGTGACTCACCCTCCTCACGTCCCCCTGACCCAGTGTAGACATGAGTCACCTCCTCACGACCCCCTGACGCAGTGTAGACATGAGTCACCCTCACGTCCCCCTGACCCAGTGTAGACATGACTCACCCTCACGTCCCCCTGACCCAGTGTAGACATGACTCACCCTCACGTCCCCCTGACTCAGTGTAGACATGAGTCACCTCCTCACGTCCCCCTGACCCAGTGTAGACGTGCCTCACCTCCTCACGTCTCCCTGACCCAGTGTAGACGTGCCTCACCTCCTCACGTCTCCCTGACCCAGTGTAGACGTGCCTCACCTCCTCACGTCCCCCTGACGCAGTGTAGACGTGACTCACCTCCTCACGTCCCCCTGACCCAGTGTAGACGTGACTCACCTCCTCACGTCCCCCTGACCCAGTGTAGACATGAGTCACCAACTCACGTCCCCCTGACCCAGTGTAGACATGAGTCACCTCCTCACGTCCCCCTGACCCAGTGTAGACGTGACTCACCCTCCTCACGTCCACCTGACCCAATGTAGACATGAGTCACCTCCTCACGTCCCCCTGACCCAGTGTAGACATGAGTCACCTCCTCACGTCCCCCTACCCAGTGTAGACATGAGTCACCTCCTCAGGTCCCCCTGAGCCAGTGTCGACGTGACTCACCTCCTCACGTCCCCCTGACCCAGTGTAGACGTGCCTCACCTCCTCACGTCCCCCTGACGCAGTGTAGATGTGACTCACCTCCTCACGTCCCCCTGACCCAGTGTAGACGTGACTCACCTCCTCACGTCCCCCTGACCCAGTGTAGACATGAGTCACCAACTCACGTCCCCCTGACCCAGTGTAGACATGAGTCACCTCCTCACGTCCCCCTGACCCAGTGTAGACGTGACTCACCCTCCTCACGTCCACCTGACCCAATGTAGACATGAGTCACCTCCTCACGTCCCCCTGACCCAGTGTAGACATGAGTCACCTCCTCACGTCCCCCTACCCAGTGTAGACATGAGTCACCTCCTCACGTCCCGCTGACCCAGTGTAGACGTGACTCACCTCCTCACGTCCCCCTGACCCAGTGTAGACATGAGTCACCTTCTCACGTCCCCCTACCCAGTGTAGACATGAGTCACCTCCTCACGTCCCCCTGACCCAGTGTAGACATGAGTCACCTCCTCACGTCCCCCTGACCCAGTGTAGACGTGACTCACCCTCCTCACGTCCACCTGACCCAATGTAGACATGAGTCACCTCCTCACGTCCCCCTGACCCAGTGTAGACATGAGTCACCTCCTCACGTCCCCCTACCCAGTGTAGACATGAGTCACCTCCTCACGTCCCGCTGACCCAGTGTAGACGTGACTCACCTCCTCACGTCCCCCTGACCCAGTGTAGACATGAGTCACCTTCTCACGTCCCCCTACCCAGTGTAGACATGAGTCACCTCCTCACGTCCCCCTGACCCAGTGTAGACATGAGTCACCTCCTCACGTCTCCCTGACCCAGTGTAGACGTTCCTCACCTCCTCACGTCCCCCTGACCCAGTGTAGACGTGACGCACCTCCTCACGTCCCCCTGACCCAGTGTAGACATGAGTCACCTCCTCACATCCCCCGACCCAGTGCAGACGTGCCTCACCTCCTCACGTCCCGCTGACCCAGTGTAGACATGACTCACCTCCTCACGTCCCCCTGACCCAGTGTAGACGTGACGCACCTCCTCACGTCCCCCTACCCAGTGTAGACATGACTCACCTCCTCACGTCCCCCTGACCCAGTGTAAACGTGACTCACCCTCCTCACGTCCCCCTGACCCAGTGTAGACGTGCCTCACCTCCTCACGTCCCCCTGACCCAGTGTAGACATGACTCACCTCCTCACGTCCCCCTGACCCAGTGTAGACATGACTCACCCTCACGTCCTCCTGGCCCAGTGCAGACAGGGAATATCCTTTCCTCACATCCTCCCGTACCTAGTGTAGACAAGAGGACCCTCTTCTCAAAGCCCATGTGCATTCTTCATATGGCCTACCACCAGCCACCTTTCTGTAGGAGCCGTGAACCAAGTCCACCCTCTGTCCTGTGGACAGGTTTCTTCCTTCTGTGACGGTCCAACTGCGGCATAAGGGGGAATATAAGGAGTCTACCTTTTGTTGGGCACTGACTATTTTGTTTTCTCTTGACTTCATGGAAAGGGGAGATGGGAGGAGATCTATGAAAAACTTTCAAGATGGAGAGAAGTAAATATTTTTTTTGGTTTGGGTTCTTTTCTAGCATGATACCAACAGCAATAGAGGTCAACTGGTGAGTGACGACCCTGACCCTAGGTACCACCCTTGTTGTTTAATCTTACGTGTGTGTGGGCGTGCGCAGTCGCTTCATTCGTGTCCGACTCTCTGTGACTCCATGGACTGTAGCCCACCAGCCTCCCCTGTCCACGGGATTCTCCAGGCCAGAACACTGGAGTGGGTTGCCATGCAACCTTCTCTGTCCGATGAGGAAGTTGGACTGGGTCCTCTGAGCATCCTTTGCGGGGCCATGACCCGTCTGTGGGTCTGCCCACATCCTCCGCAGTTCCTCAACTGTCGCTTCATCTGTACTGAACGATCCCAGGGGCCCCACGACTAGTCAGTCAGAAGATTCTGGACAATCACCCATGCTCTTTATTTATCTGCGCATCTCTTTGCAGTATTCGGCACGCAAATTACAACATTCACACCCAGGTTGGGAGGGTGTGGGCTTGAATGTTTCTCTCCAGTTGGACAACTGAAAAGACACCCCCCGCCCCCAGTCTTTTTCTCAACACAGGTCACAACTCTAACTTTCTGCTTTCTCCAAAGATTGTGGTGTTTGGTGACTCGGGAAATAGGTACAACTTTCCCAAACCAGGATCCAAAGCAAAACATACTGTGAAGATAAGGACAGCGGACGCCCGGAAGGCCCACTGGGGTGCCTGGAGCCAGCCCGTTGAGTTCGGTAGGTGTCCCGAGACCATCCCCGGGCAGGTCCCGGCATGCTGAGTCCTTCTCTGAGCCATTCAGCGAAGCGTTCCCGTCCACGAGCCCGTGGTGACATTTCCCCTGGCATCAGCAACACCCAGTCAGGGAAAGTGAAAATTACTCACTTGTGCCTGACTCTCTGCGACCCCATGGACTGTAGCCCACCAGACTCCTCTGTCCATGGGATTCTCCAGGCAAGAATACTGGGGTGGGTTGCCATGCCCTCCTCAGGGGATCTTCCCCACCCAGAGCTTGAACCCAGGTCTCCTGCATGGCAGATTCTTTCCTGTCTGAGCCAGCAGACAAGCATTAATTTAAACTATGGGCCAAAAAAAAAAAAAGAAATTTGACTTTTCCCAGAATACAGTTCTAAAACAGACTTGGCTCACCTCCACGTGATTTTTCTCTTCTTTTTTTGCTTTCGCCTGCTATCTGTAACATGCAGTTTTGACAATTGATGTGTCGTTTAAAAGATACTGCTTTGCCTAAAAGGTCACGTTTTATCTGTGTATACTGAGAAATGTTGCAACAGTGAACACGTCCATCGGGTTATAATCACTCTGATCAAGTGAGTGTCTACTGTATTTTTGACTCTTCACAGATGAAAAATGTGCCCTATTTAGGAAAATAATTTTAGAGAAGAAAATGGCAAACCACTCCAGTATTCTTGCCTGGGAAATCCCATGGACAGAGGAATTCTTAGTTGTGAATTGTAGCTCAGTTGGTAAAGAATCTGCCTGCAATGCAGGAGACCTGGGTTCGATTCCTGGGTTGGGAAGCTCCCCTGGAGAAGGGAACGGTGGTCTGCAGCCCATGAGGTCACAAAGAGTCAGACACGACTGAGCGACTAATACAGACAGAGGAAAGTAGTTTATTGTAAAGAGCACTTATTCTAAATGACACGTGAAATTAAAGCTTAAGGATAGATGGGAGAGGACTTCCCAGGTTGTCCAGCAGGTAAGATCTGCCTTCCAACGCAGGGGATGTGTGTTGGATCCCTGGCTGGGGAGCTAAGACCTCACATGCCTTGAGGAAAAAAGACCTAAACATAAAACAGAGGCCATAGGGAATTCCCTGGCAGTGCAGTGGCTGAGAGGCTGTGCTCCCAATGTTTACTCCCTGGTCGTGGAACCAGATCCCACGTGCCGCAGCTAAGCCCCAGCACAGTCAAATAGAAAAGAAGTATTAAAAGAAGAATTAATATTGCAGTAAATTCACCAAATGGGAGGGAATTTGGTTTACAACTGTTTGCCTAGAACTGTTCATCCTATTCAACTAGTCATCCTTTCTTCTGTCCATTTTTAAATTGAGTGGTCTTTAGGTTGCTGTGTTCCAAGAGTGCTTTAGGTGCTTTGAAAGTGGTGTTGGGCTCGTCCCTCATCTGTCATCCAGTCCCTCACTTTTGTCCGACTCTTTGCAACACCATGGACTGCAGCACGCCAGGCCTCCCTATCCATCACTGTCTCCTGGAGTTTGCTCAAACTCATGTCCATCGAGTCGGTGATGCCGTCCAACCATCTCATGCTCTGTCGTCCCCGTCTCCTCCTGCCTTCAATCTTTCCCAGCATCAGGGTCTTTTCAAGTGAGTCAGTTCTTCATATCAGGTGGCCAAAGGATTGGAGTTTCAGCTTCAGCATCAGTCCTTCCAATGAACACCCAGGACTGATTTCCTTTAGGATGGACTTGTCTGATCTCCTTGCAGTCCAAGGGACTCTCAAGGGTCTTCTCCAACACCACAGTTCAAGAGCATCCATTCTTTGGCGCTCAGGCTTCTTTATGGGCCAGCTCTCACATCCGTACATGAGTACTGGGGAAACCCTAGCTTTGACTAGACGGACCTTTGTGGGCAACGTGCAGTCTACTGTGTCACAAACATTTTCTGTGAAAGCTCCGGGTTAGGGTACTCTCGTAGATTTCCTTTCTCCTTATGGGGCTTTTCTGGTGGCTCAGACGGTAAAGAATCCGCCTGCCATGCAGGAGACCTGGATCTGGTCCCTGCTTCAGGAAGATCCCCTGGAAAGAGGGCATGGCAGCCCACCCCAGTACTCTTGCCTGGAGAATGCCCTGGTCAGAGGAGCCTGGTGGGCTACAGTCTGTGGGGTCGCAAAGGGTAAGACGTGGCAGAGGGACTGACACTTTGGGTTTCGCCGGGCATGTTTCCGAGCCCGTGAGCCCGTGAGCTGGCTGAGCGATGCCAGCTCCTCCCGCTCCCCTGCGGGGTCCCCGGCATGTCCCCTGCCTCTGTCTTCCCCAGGCTCCGAAGAACCAGAGTCCAGCCTGGTGCACATCTACATTCTGGTGGTCCTGGGGACTCTCGTCTGTGGCCTGACCCTCAGCTGCCTTTTCAAAAGGTAACCCCGGGGAGTCCCGGGCCGGCTAACCCCCATGGTCAGTGGAGGGGCCAGTGCCCGTTCTAGAGTCACCGCCCCCCACCCCGACCCCCCATCGGCTCACAAAGATGAGAAGGCAGCCTGCAAACCCCCCAGGCGGTCCCAGCCGCTGTGGGGGTTTTCCGGAAGAAAATGTGTCTGGGGAGAACAGTGTTGACTTTAAAAAAAATTGCACAGGGTGAATGTTGCGAGTTTAATGTTTTATTCTGGGGCAAAATTAGGACCGCAGGCTTCCCCGGTGGTTCAGATGGTAAAGCACCCACCTGCAATGCGGGAGACCTGGGTTCAATCCCTGGGTCGGGAAGATCCCCTGGAGAAGGCAACAGCACCCCACTCCAGCACTCTTGCCTGGAGAATCCCATGGACGGAGGGGCCTGGTGGGCTGCAGTCCTTGAGGTCGCTAAGAGTCAGACACGACTGAGCGACTTCGCTTTCACTTTTCACTTTCATGCATTGGAGAAGGAAATGGCAACCCGCTCCAGTGTTCTTGCCTGGAGAATCCCAGGGACGGGGGAGCCTGGTGGGCTGCCGTCTGTGGGGTCACATAGAGTCGGACACGACTGAAGCGACTGAGCAGCAGCAGCAGCAGCTGAAGGGGGAGTCTACGCAATCAAGCACATATATTTTTTGCAGAAGGTCTCTGCTAGTCACGGGGAGCAGACATCACCATGAAGCATTTCAGTGCTTGTTCAGCTGTGAGGAGATGCAAGCGTTGGGCTCATAAAATGAGAATATCCTGAGAATATCTAACTATCTGCAGGCCTGTCCTGCCAGTTTTTTGGGGTTTTTTTTTTTCCTCCAGGGCACAGAATGTCTCATCTCTGCTCTCCACCCGGAACTCCTTGGAGGAGAGGATTGAAGGTCAGCAGCTGCAGAAGCAGCTGGTTTAATGCTTGTAGAGATAGATGAACTTTTGAAAGCGTGAGTCGCTCAGTCGTGCCCGACTCTGTGCGACCCCGTGGGCTGTAGCCCACCAGGCCCCTCGGTCCGTTGGATTCCCCAGGCAGGAATACTGGAGTGGCCTCCAGTAAGAATACTGCCGTTACCTCCTCCAGGGGATCTTCCCCACCCAAGGGTCGAAGCCAGCTGTCCTGCACTGCAGGCGGATTCTTCAGCGTCTGAGTGAGCAGGAAAGCCCCCTTACAGTTCAGCTGTGCCCCAAGGCCCGCCTTCTGGTCTTTTGGAGCCTCTGGAATTCTCGGAATGTCCCCACAGACCTCTGTTTTCCCGCAGCGTGTTCTCAGCCCCGCGGCCGCTGCAGCCAGCCTCCCCCACCACGGGGACCCCTGCCAGCGTCTTTCCTGTTGTGTGAGCTCAGCAATCAGGCAGGCTCTCTCAGATGCCCGGGAAGGAAGCCCGGCACGTGCAGAGTAAAGCTTGCGTGCTCTGCAAAGCCACGGGGAGATTTGGCTCATGGGGAGACCCTCCTGCAGGGCGTGTGGGCGTCCACTCACGACGTCTCTGTCACCAGGCGACTCCCGCCCGCGTCCCCGTTGGGCGTCCTGGGCTCAGACTCCCCGCCCGCCCCGGAGACAAGGGGCGACCCTGAGCGCCCGCTGCAAGACGCTGCAAGGCATCGCGGTTCTCGGGACACGACCACGGGCTGTGGGGACGGGAACACATGTCATGGTTTAACACCGAAGACTGATCTTAAACAAAAGCCGTGTCACTTCCTGTGGCTGCCGGAACCAGTGACCACAAGCTGGGGGGCTTAAAGCCACAGACATCCGTCCTCCCTGAGCCCTGGGGACCAGATGTCTGCGGTCTAGGTGTCCCAGGCTCGATTCCCTCTGGAGGCTCCAGGGGAGGGGCCTCCCCGCCTCTTCCAGCTTCCGGGGGCTCCAGGCGTCGGTCCCTGGGCTGGTGGCCGCCTCCCTCCCGTCTCCGCCTCCGTCTCCACGTGGCTTCTCCTCTGTGTCCCTGTCTCTCCTCTTCTGTGTCTTATAAGGACCCTGTCCCTGGGTTTAGGGCCACCCCACATCCAGGGGGGCCTCATCTCAGACCCTTCACTCCGGCACTTCTGCAGAGACCCCATTTCAAAGCAAGCTCCCTTTCCTGGGCTTCAGGACTCGAGTGGATCTTTGGGGCCACCGTTCCGCTCAGCACAGCATCTTATGATGTCACAGGGTTGCCTCCTTCTCGTGAGAATAAAAATAACTGCCCGGGCGGTCGTTCAGCATCACTGAGACACTTGGGGACCGTGGAATAGCCCTGAAAATACGTGCCATCTGCAGAAAACTGGTCTGTCTGGAATCGTGGCCTTCAAGGCTGGATAAATCTCCCTGCCTTTTAACAGCAGAGAGTATGGATTACTCCAAGCTGCTCAAGACTGGGCACATACCACCGCTGCCGTCTCTGCACCCGAGACAACGAACGTTCAGTTCAGTTCAGTTCAGTCGCTCACTCGTGTCCGACTCTTTGCGACCCCATGGACCGCAGCACGCCAGGCCTCCCTGTCCATCACCAACTCCCGGAGTTTACTGAACCTCATGTCCATTGAGTCAGTGATGCATCCAACCATCTCATCTTCTGTCGCCCCCTTCTCCTCCCTCCGTCAATGGTTTCTCTTCAAAGACAGTGAATGAAGGTTCTGGAAAGACTTTCTTGGGCACTTCTTAAGTACATCCACACAGTCTATTTATATTCTCCACAGTCTAAGATTGCAAGCCGTCCTGTGATTTTTTTTAAGATTTTTTTTTTCCGGTGGATCATTATATTTTTTTTAAATGTCTCTCCATTTTTGTTTTTTTTTTTTTTTTTGGACTTTGCAATTTTTATTTTGTATTGAAGTATAGCTGATGAACACTGCAGTGATGGTTTCAGGGAGACAGCCAAGGGACTCAGCCATACATGCACACGTATCCATTCTCCCCCATCCTTCCCCCTGGTGACCATCAGGTTATTACAGAGTATTGAGCAGAGTTCCGTGTGCCATCCAGTGGGTCCTTGCTGGTTCTCCATGTGAAACACAGCAGCGTGTCCACGTCCATCCCAGACTCCCTAATTATCCCTTCTCCCCATCTTCCCACCCCCTCATAACGATGAATTGGTTTTGTAAGGCTGTGAATCTCTTCTTTCTGTTTTGTAAGTCACTTTGCATCATCTCTTTCTAGGTTTCTCATGTAAAGAAGTCACAGGATATCTCTCCTTCTCTGTCTGAGTTACTTCACTCAGCACCACACTCTCTCGGTCCCCCCGGGTTGCTGCAGATGGCATTATTTCGTTCTTTTTAACGGTTGCATACTATTCCATTGTGTTAATGTACCATCACGTAGATCATTTTTAAAGTCTTTACTGAATTGGTTGCAGTAGTGCTTCCATTTTATTTATCTATTGTTTTTGTCTGCGAGGATTGTGGGGTCACAGCTTCCTGACCAGGGATCGCATCGGCACCCCAGGGACTGAACCCACACCCCCTGCCTTGGAAGGTGAAGTCTTAACTCCTGGGCTTCCAGGGGAAGTCTCCCTTTCTGAGAATCTTAAAGGAAACTGTTGTGGAGACGTGAGTCCAGAGGGTGTGTTTGCACGTATTATGGCAGTGCATCTCCTCTGGGAACCAGGACGAAAACCTGGGCCTGTCGGTCTTTTCTTCATCTCGTGTCTCATCTCTGCAGGTTCATCAGGACCCACAGGTTATTCCCTCCGGTTCCACAGATCAAAGATAAATTGAACGATAACCATCCAGTCGACCACGAGGTATGTCCGGGGTCAGTGAGGCGGAGAGCCAGGATGGACAGGTGGGGAACGGTGAGCCCAGAATCTCGTCTGTGCTCAGCCAACGGGGTCCACAGGAAGAGGCTGGAAACCCGTGTCCTGCTCTCTGACTTTCTTCCGGCGGGGGGCGGGGTTGGGGGTTTTGTCTGCAAGCTGTGTCCGGGGAAATTAGCCGGGTCGTGGAGAAGGAGGAGGAGAGAAGTGGAAGATGGGGGTGGCAGAGAGAGACAGGGATAGACTGAAAGGGCTCCAGCCAGATCTTCAGGGGGGCAGCACATAGGATGAAAAAGGATAGCAGACAAGAGAGGACCCCCGCCCCGTATGTAGGGCTTCCCTGGTAGTTCAGATAGTAAAGAACCCGCCCGCAATACGGGAGACCCCGGTTCAGTCTCCGGGTTGGGAAGATCCCCTGGAGAAGGGGAATGGCAACCCACTCCAGTATTCTTGGGCTTCCTTTGTGGCTCAGATGGTAAAAAAAAAAAAAAAAATCCGAATGCAATGAGGGAGCCCTGGGTTCGATTCCCTGGGTGGGGAAGATCCCCTGGAGGAGAGAGTGGCAACCCACTCCGGTATTCTTGCCTGGAGAATCCCGTGGACAGAGGAGCCTGGCAGGTGATATACTCCATGGGGTCACAAAGAGCTGGACACAGCTGAGCCACTGACACTTTCACTTTCCAATGTGGGAAACCCACCCCTCCACTTGGGTGCCCCTGTCGAGCCTGTCTTCTGGAGGCGGGGACTGCGTCCGCCTCCTCCACGGCCTACCGTCCTATCAACCAGGTATCGGCTTGCTCACCTGGGTCTCTGAGCCAGCCATCGTCCCTCTCACGGACACCGACTCAACGCCCTGGTGGGTTCCCGGGGAGGTCTAGGGCCCCGCACACTCTCTTGTCAAGCTCTGAGCTCCACGCAGTCCCAGCGAGTGTGGTACCCGAGTCTCACACATCCCTCCCCCAGCTCATCAGCCGACGACGACCTCCCGCTCGGAGACCCGGCTCCCGTTTCTGTCTAAACCCTCCACGTCCGTGGCTCCCCCGGGGGCTCCTGGGGAGTTGACATCCCTGCCTTTCTCCCCCATCAGATACTATGGGAGAAGTTTACACATGAAACGGGAAAAGATGACAAGGAAGAGGTCTTAATCGTGGAGAAAGTCTCAGAAGCCCCAGCGAAACTGTGAATTCCAGGCGTGTCCATACCCGGGACTTTCTAGAAGCTGTCGACTTTTTTTTTTAATATATTTTTTTAACATTTCTTAAATGTTTTATTTACTGTTTCGAATGAAGCTTTTTTAAATTGTTGTGGGCGTTTGTATAGCATTCTTTTTGTTCTTTTAATGAGGCTTCCCAGGGAGTCAGTGGTAAAGCATTTGCCTGCCAATCTAAGAGACTCGGATTCCATTCCTGGGTTGGGAAGATCCCCTGGAGGAAGGCATGGCAACCCACTCCAGTCTTCTTGCCTGGAGAATCCCATGGACCGAGGAGCCTGGCCATCTAGAGTCTATGGGGTCATGAAGAGCCGAACATGAATGAGTGACTAAACAGCATTTTTTTTTTTTACTCTAGAAGATAATGTCATGTTTTCCAGAGCTGCTTTTGTAGTTGGAGGGGTGGTTGGATGCCTGCCATTGTGAACACTTAATGCACCTCTCAGTGCCTCCTGGAACCCCATCCCTTCATCACAGGCACATGTCTAGGATGCCGGTGGCCGCGGGTACTGGAACACCATCTCCCCTGAATACATCCTCCTTTTTTTTCTCCTGTATCAGCTGCAGTTTAGAAAGAAATGAGTTTCCAGAGGCTTCTGCAACAGGACCTCCACGATGGGCGTGGCGTGGCAGGAATCTATCCATTAACAGTTCATACGGTCCCCTGTGTAATTCTGTGATGACCTTACCCCTGGGGCGGGTGGTCCGCGACCCGGTCTCCATCTCAGGGTCCTGGCGCTCATCACGGCTGTCAACCTCCTTCTATCAGAAGACAACCTGTTCATGGGTTCTGGGATTTAGGATGTCGTCGGGGATGTTATTCTGTCCACCACACGGGGAGGGCGTGCAGACGTCCTTGGGGACATTTTTCTGTCCACCGCGCGGTGCCCAGAAAGAGGAGCTTCGCTGAGTGGCTGTGATGGGAATCCGGAGCCATCCCCAGACCTGCGGATTCAAAGGCTCCCTCCCCCCACTCTCCCACCCCCTCATACATGTGGTATGCATTCCTCCCGTTCCCCTGGAATTCTCCGCCAAGACCAGCTGAGTCGTATGCTTTCTGCACAAACCGGCAAAGCCTTCTTTTTTGTTTTTTTTTAACTCCGGTCTTTTCGTGAGATTTGTGAGCCGTTGTAGCCAATTACCCAGCCCCACGGAGGGGGTCTTGGGAAGCCTGATTTATAAGCTGGTCGGTCAGAAGTCTGGGCTGCCTGGGACCACCCCAGGCAGGGTCTGAAAAATCTGTGGGGTCACAAAGTCTGAAGAGACTGCGGTCAGAAGTCTTGGGGAGCCAGGTTTTCCTGCTGGAAAATGACCTGGAGGCTGACAGCCAGCCAGCTGAAAAAACGCATCGGGGCTAGAAATGATCTGGACACAACATCTGTGTCACTTTAACACGTGGATTTTACGCAACTCAGGAAACGTGAGCTATTTGCGTCTGTTGGTCTGTTTCTGTTGGTACACAAATTCCTTTTATTTTTTTAGATTCCAAAAGGATGGTTAACCAATGGGGAAAGGAAGGTAGGGTTGGTGGGGCAGGGGTGGAGAGGGGCGGGATAATTTAGATGTTTGGGGTTAAAAGTGTGAAATGCAAATTGATTAATGGATATAAAGTGTTAGACATAGAATAGATAAGCAACAGAGATTTATGGTACACCTCAGGGAGTCAGATAATCATATTCGATATCATGTCAGACACTATAATCAAAAGGGACCCGAAAAAAATGTGTGTCTCCGTAAGTGAACCAGTTTGCTGTAGACCAGAAACTAAGACAGTGTTCTAAGTCACCTGTGTGCTCGGTCGCTGAGCTGTGTCCGACTCTCTGCGACCCCGTGGACTGCAGCCCGCCAGGCTCCTCCGTCCGTGGGATGCTCCAGGCAAGGATCCTGGAGTGGGTTGCCATGCCCTCCTCCAGAGGATCTTCCCAAGCATCAAACCTCTGTCTCCTTCATTGGCAGGTGGATTCTTTACCACTGAGCTACCTGGGAATCTATACTTAAATAAAATAAAATAAAAACCTTTCCAAAAAAAGTCATTCTAAAGGCTTCGCAAGCGACTCCATGGCAAAGAATGTGCCTGCCAATGCAGGCAGGAGACATGGGTTCAATCCCTGGGTGGGGAGGATCCCCCGCAGAAGGAAATGGCAACCCGCTCCAGGATTCTTGCCTGGAGAATCCCATGGACAGAGGAGCCTGGCAGGCTACAGTCCACGGGGTCACGGAGAGTCGGACACAACTCAGCGACTGCACAACAGCAAGAAGGTTATTCTAACGAGAAAAAGAAAGCGGTTCTTCAGCCGCACGCTCCCTGGCACTACTGATGCCCCCAGCTGCCCTCCTGATCCTGTCCCCCCAGAAGGGCCCCCTCCCAGGCCCCCACTTGCCTCGGAGGCTGCCGGCCCAGCTGTGCCGTCTCTGCCGCCCGGGAGGCCGCTGTGTACCCAAACCCAGACCTGTGGTCTGCACCACGACGCCCCTGCAGAATCCAGCGACCGGGGAGTCGAGTGTCAGGAACTGGTGTCTGCGCCCGGGAGGATGAGGAAGCTGTCGCAGCTGGGCTGCCGGGTCGATCCTGGCGACCCGGGTCGGGTCCTCTCCCGTGCGGGAAGGCGCAGGGCGACCTCGTGCTTCCTGGGGGCCCCTCTCGGGGCGGCTCTGCAGCTGGCTGAGTCGCTCATTTAGGACTGAGTTACCGGGCGTGGATGCATGGAGCAGGGTCTGGTTCAGCCTCATGGGATCCCCCGGGCGGGGCGGCGCTGGGAGGGGTGTGTGTGTGTGTGTGTGTGTCTGTGAGAGTTGCTCAGTCGTGTCCAGCTCTCTGCGACCCCATGGACTGTGGCCCACCAGGCTCCTCTGTCCATGGGATTCTCCAGGCAGGAATGCTGCAGTGGGTTGCCGTTCCCGGACTCTTGTCTGGGAAACCTCACGGACGGAGGAGCCTGGTGGGCTATTACAGTCCAGGAGAGGTAGGCAGAGAATAGTGCCCACCCCCAGGGAGGCACCTCCCGGGGAAGAAGGTGAGGACACGGCACGTGGAGAAGGAGGAGGAAGTGGACGTCGTGTGAGTGATGTTGGTCTTTGAATCTGAAATTCCCTCCAACTCGCAGCTTCTTCCTTGTTGTTCCGTCGCTGAGTTGTGTTTGACTCTTTGCGTCCCCGTCTCCTCCCGCCCTCAATCTTTCCCAGTATCAGGGTCTTTTCCAATGAGTCAACTCTTCCCATCAGGTGGCCAGAGGACTGGAGTTTCAGCTTCAGCATCAGTCCTTCCCATGAACTCAGGACAGATTTCCTTTAGGATGGACTGGTTGGATCTCCTTGCCGTCCAAGGGACTCTCAAGAGTCTTCTCCAACACCACAGTGCCAAAAGGGTCGGTTATTTGGCACTCAGCTTGCTTTAGAGTTTCGTGTTAGCTTCTACTATAAGACGAACTGAATCAGCCGTGTGTGCACATATATCCCCTCTTTTTGGATTTCCTTCCCATCTAGGTCATCGCAGTCCCCTCCGCTATACAGTAGTTTCTCATTAGTTACCTATTTTATACACAGTATCGATTGCGTCTCAGTCCCAAGCTCCCAATGTATAATATCCCTTCTTCCCCCCTCTGCTGTGCATGCGTTTGTTCTTTGCATCTGCGTCTCTATTTCCACTTGGCAAACAGGTTCATCTGTACCATTTTTCTAGATTCCACATAAATTGTGTTAACACACGGGGCTTCCCTGGAGGCTCAGATCGTAAAGCATCCTGCCTGCCGATGCAGGAGACCCCGGTTCGATCCCTGGGTCGGGAAGATGGTGTTTTTCCCTTTGTGACTTGCTTCACAAGTGAAGGATGGACTCTGGGTCCATCCACGTCTCTCAGAGAACATTTCCCCGCTGCTGGGCTGGGCTTTAATCTCCTACCTGTTCTGTACTTTGCAGGCCTCCTCCCTGGGGCGGGGATGCGGGAGACTCAGAACACCTCCAGACCAGTGAAGGCTCAGCCACACCCCTGCTGGTGGGTCAGCTCCGCTCAAAGCGACCAGGAAACTGTAGCAGTCACAGTTCACCAGAGAAATAAGACCAACAGGATGGAGATTTGTGAGAGATGGGTGGATAGATAGGCAGATGATAGATGGGCAGACAGATGTGATAGACAGAGAAATAGGTAGGGAGACAGGTAGACAGATGATAGACAGAGATGATAGATATAATAGATAGGTAGGTAGGTAGAGATGATAGATAAATAGGTAGACAGGCAAATAGAGATGAAAGATATAATAGGTAGATAGAGATGGTAGATAAATAGGTAGTAGAGATGATAGATAAATAGGTAGACAGATAGGCAAATAGAGATGATAGGTAGATAGAGATGATAAATAAATAGGTAGATCAGATAGGTAGGTAGAGATGTTAGACAGGCAAATAGGCAGTAAAGATGATAGATAAATAGGTAGACAGATAGGTAAATAGAGATGATAGGCAGATAGGTAGATATAGGTGATAGGTAGATACAGATGATCGATGGACAGATAGACAAATAGGTAGACAGATAATCGATAGGTACACACAGATGATAGATAGACAAATGGGTGGACAGATAGATGGACAGGTAGACAGAGATGATAGGTAAGTAGACAATAGGTAAATAGGTACATACAGATGATAGATTGATAGATAGACAAATATGTAGGCAGACAGATAGATAGGTAAATGGAGATGATGAATAGAAAAATAGGTAGATCAATAGACAGGTAGGCAGAGATGCTAGATAGACAAATGGGTAGATAGATAGGTAGATAGAGATGATAGATATGTAGGTAGACATGATATATAAATAGAAAAATAGGTAGATCAATAGGTAGATAAAGATGATAGAGATGATAGATACATACATAGAGATGACAGATAAATAGGCAGATAGATAGGTGAATAGAGATGATAGGTAGTTGCAGATGACACATTGATAGACAAATAGGTAGGCAGACAGATAATCGATA